GTACCGTTGGGAGTCTGACAGCGCGCCCACCACAACGGTGTCACCAGCGGCTCAAGTGATGAAATTGTGCACAATACCCGCTGGGACAGAGCTGGGCCTAGTAAAACTCTTGCGGCGAACAAAAGTAAAGTTGAAGACAATAGTGCGAGGGAAAGAGGGTTGAAGGAGCAGAAAGTTTGGAAAAAGTCGCAAGTGAGCTTAAAAGTAATTTGTTTGCGGCGCAACATGACAGCTATGCGGTGACGACACTGACACCCACCCATCGAGATTGCTACAAACACCAGTGATGAATCTGGCGAGATGGTGGACAGGCAAGCCAACCAACAGCCGAGGGAACACACATTTTATGCATATACTTGTGTACGAAATAGTGACCTGTCGCCGCGAAGGGGTTGCTGTTGGCTAGTCCTTGCGCTATGGTTATGTGCGCCCAACGACATTTATTTAAATCACAGCAGCCGCGCAAGCAGATTACATGAGACACGCAATCTTCCGCTGGCTGTCTGATGGACAACCAAAAGAGCACACACACACACACACACACAGAAGATAGTCAAATCGAGTGCGCAGCCAACTGCTTTGTGGCGGCGTTTACGTAAATTAATTCCTCACCTCAGACAGTTTGAAGGGTGCGGGTTGAGCGACTGATTTCGCATTATTGCTGTTGTAATCATATTTAATTACTTAAAATGAATAGAGCCGTTGTTCAGTTTTAATCGCCATTGTTGCCCTTTACCTTCATCTAGCACATTGCTGTAGCGACATAATGATACGCATTCAAACTGTGCAAAATTATATATATATTCCATTATTTACCCTCAATTAGATTAAATATGCTCTGCAGCGTAGGTTGGGCTGCGGAAAAAAATTTGGTCGGGAGTTTCTGGCGCGTGTTGCAAGGTTGTTTGTCATTGCAGAAAAAACTGAAAGTCACAATATCCTTTCATAGTTGTTTCTTGCATTTATTTAAGTGTATTCTGTTCGCTATTTTAATTTTTGTTTTCGTCGCCATTGTGGGTTTGTTGTATTGCCGCCACGTGTCCGAGCGTCGTTCTCACTACACTGCTTGCTTATTGCTCCTTTCCTGCTGCTCATTTCCTATCGTTTGACACTCTAGTACGCGGCATGTTATCCTATTTTGTAATGTATATCCCCTTAGTGAAGTATGAACAAATTGACCGCATCAAGTTGATCACGCATATTGTAAGTAGCGCGAAGGGCAGCAGGAAGGGAGTTCAGATTGGCACAGTGTTTTTCGCAAGATTGTATTCAGAAACGGCCAATGTGGCTGAGTAGTTAGAGGTGCTTACAACCAAACGGTAGTGCCGATAGGGTTCGAGACAAGTGACCCACGTGTTGATTTTGTTTTAAATTCACGATATTTTTCAAGCTAAATTTTTATTATTTTTTTTCTATAAAAATATTTGTCCAAGCTTTAGCCAAAGCATTTAATTCAAAATTTCCCACTTTATACAAAATTTAGCAAAATTCAACCAACATTCATAAAAATTTCAAACTTCTTAATCTAAATCTAGGCTAACTTACCAGGGGTACACGAACATATAACCTAAACTGCTTTAAGGAATGTATGAGCTTATCAAAGCATAAGTTAAGAATTGCTACAGGAGTCCCGACAGGACATTATTGGCTGAACCATAACCTGACTAAACTGGGATTTTATTATTATATTTAGATTTTGCAGGACGGATATCGAGATTGCACTGCACATCTTAGAAGAGTGTCCTGCACTGCACAAAATACAATAACATCTAATAACCAAGGACGAAGTGAAATCCGTGGATTTAGGTTACTTACTAAAGTTTCTCTCGGATGTGGGATTAATAGACACACTAGAAATCCGTAAGGGGGCAAAATATAATAATATATATAGTAATAATAATAATCTGAATCTTTAGAATATTTTCGGGTATGGAGTTACGTAGCCCATGTAATCTTAGTCCAATAAAGTGCAAGTTTCAAGCGGTTAAAAAATCGAGTTTATTTTTATATATTTTTTTTTGTGACGGCCTTTGTGGTTTTTTTTTATATATATACAGTCAGTCAATAAAGTTTAGGTACAGCGAATTTTTTACAGTACGGGCAACTATTTTTTAAATATTTTATTTTTCGACAATTTTTTATAAAAATTTGGTTGATTCTACAACAAAAAAACCCAAAAATCAGAGTTCCAAACCTTGTGCAAAATTTAAGAAATTTCTGCAAAATTTCATTCAAATATTGCACTTTTTATTTACGCTGTGTAGAAAAAAGTTGAGTATGCAGTTTTTTAGCCCAGTCAATTTTAGTATAACAAAGTGCAAGTTTGAGGTAAGTAGGACTTACCATTGATTTTTAGCAATTTGTTTTGTTGAAGGTGTCGCTCATTTTCTCCATATAAAATAATGTTTGATAATTTTTTTATATGGAAAAATGTGCGACACCTTCAACGAAAAAGGTCCCAAAAATCAATGGTAAGTCCTAGCTTCTTCATACTTGCACTTTATTATACTAAAATTGAATGGGCTTAAAAACTGCATACTGAACTTTTTTCTTGAGAGCGTAAATAAAAAGTGCAATATTTGAATGAAATTTTGCAGAATAGTCTTTAGTTTTGCACAAGGTTTGGAGTTTTGATTTTTGGGGTTTTTGTTGTAGAATTAATCATATTTTTACAAAAAATTTGCGAAAAATAAAATATTAAAAAAATATTTGCCCGTATGGTAAAAAATTCGCTGTACCTAAACTTTATTGACTGACTGTACATACATAGATAACAAGTACAGTTTAAAAACGCCGAAATTTTGTTGTGAACGGTCTTCCGTATGCCATTTCATAAGAAATCCATACTTGTATGGCAAAAAGAGCAAAAAAAAAATTTATCAAAAGCATTAGACTAAGATTGTGTGGGTTATATATGTAACTGCATACCCAAAAATATTCTAAAGATTTGCGGCTGCAACAAATGGCTATGAAAGCTAATGTAATTGCCTTTTACGTAAAAATATTGCCATTGAGTCATAATTATTCCTTGACCTTAAAAAAAAATTGGTCAAAAATTGTTTTCTTCGAAAAAAAAACATTCCCCAGCGCTTTCAGAGATTATGAGTTGAAAAACGAGTTAAAGGAAAACTTCAGTAGCATAGTGCTCGACAGCGGGATCATCAAGAGAAAGGTACGACGTGCTTATGACCCCGCCGCCTGGCTGACGCAGAGTGCCATTAAAACCTGTCTGCTTGGACTCCGGAAGATAATTCCAGACTTTTAATTTTATACTAGTCATTGGGCCCTCTCGACCGCTTAAATGAGACTACATGCCACTTAATACAAAGCTGTAAATCCAAGGATCGAAAGGTTTCAAGTGTCCCTAACCAACAGTATCAAATTAATCCAAAATTCCTAATGGCTATAATAAAATATAAATTTTTTTTGTCCTCTTTACTTTCTTTACACACTGTTCCTGCTTTAATACCCAAATGTTTTGCTTGTGATTTGTGCGCGTGAAAGCGTGTAAAATGCATGTAATCATAGTCAATAACAACAACAAATTACCAAAGCTACTGATAGCATCAACAACAATAACATCATTAACAACAACTACAATAACAACGCTTATAAAATTGTCATTAAGCATTTAATAGTTGCGTGTCGGCAAGTTGAACTTACAAGCCCTGTGTGAGTAGACGCATCAATAACCGACGGCGGGCGTCAAAACTGGTTTGCTGTTGCTCTTGCCATCGCTGCTGTTGCGTATGTAATATCCATGAGATCCTTTAAGAGCATTGTTGTTAGAGCAATCCTCAGTTAGAATGCTGCATTTGGGATTGGTGTTGGTGGCGGCGGTGGTGGTGGTGTTGCAGTAGATGTGATTGCTGTTTGTGGTTTGGGTGACGCGTGTCGGTCGGCTCATCATTCATTCAGCCGGCAAGATGCCTCATTCAAATGCCTTTTTCGCATCACCTCTACGTAATTTTCCCATAAGCTTACGTGGTAATGGAGGTTTTTTCGTCGATTTCGTTTTTGTTTGTGGTATAAATTATGAGCAAATTTTAAAACGATTGCGTGATAAGAGTGACACTCGTTTGTGGCACAATCGACTCTGCCACCACGCGGCGGTATGTCGTACCGATTGGAGGAAACCGAGAAATTTGATTTTACAATTAGTTATGTCACTTAACTACCCTTCTTGATTGTGGCTATCTATTAGGTTGGATTAGCTTAAACGGGCAGCTCCGAGAAGAGTTCACTCGGAGGCCACAGCGGCCCATTGCGATGCATAGGGAGATTACCCCATGCCTATCCCTACATGTCTTTCAACTATTTTGATTCTCTGGAGGTACAACCTTTCCGTTTAAAAAAAGGATTATAGAAATCGGTTAACGTGGTCCGAAGTTATGCGGTAACATACTTAAAAATTAAAAATACAAAAATATTCCGACGAATTGATAACATTCTCCTTTTTTGAAGTCGGTTTATAAATATAAAAGGGTAGAAAAAAATACAACATGTAATCTTTAAGCAAAAACAAAACAAAATCGACTTCAAGGCTTATATAAAAATTTAAGATTACGGTGAATTTCTTCATGATCCTATTATCGAAACTAAAGTGAATTTAAAGACATTTGCAAAAATAAAATCAACGAGGACTTTAAATAAAATCAATGAGGAATCTCTTCGGAATTTCATTAGTTTTTAAACGGCTTCAAAAAAGGAGAAGGTTATCAATTCGTCGGAATATATATTTGTTTATGTATGTTACCGCATAACTCTGGACCACGTTAACCGATTTTTTCTATAGATCACTAGATGATAAAGAAATTAACGATAATCTTAAATTTTTATATGATAATTGAAGTCAGTTTTGTTGTTTGCTTAAAATAACTTGTTTTTTTTTTCAATTTTACCCCTTTAACCTAGAATTTTTTCCGAGAGACAATCTCTTTCTTCCATCGGTCCTATTTCTCTCTGTGTAAATGATAAGTCAATTTGTAGTTCACTAAACTTCGTTTTATTTTTAACCGAGCGGTCTCAGAAGAGTAAATGGCGCTCATACAGTAAGAACTCTTTCTTTAAGTCTAAGCTAGAGATTCTCACTGTTTGTGTTTGCATAAACTTGGTTCACCAAACTGCTAAACGATCGTCTAATCATGTAAAAAATTGTAGCTCAACACATTACAAACGCTCCTATGTATTTACATTTGTACACACATACATATGTTTGTATGTATATTCATACGCAGGTACTTAGAAGACGACTAAAAAATACAATTTTATTCTTTACGTGCACTTGCTTATCATTTCGCTCTATTTATTTACATAGTTTTTGAATAAATATATCTCTTTCTAAGCGCTGTGTATTCAGTTTTCGATCGAATCGCCGCGCATCTAGTAGTACAATGCGAGTGTTCCTCGGCATATTAGCTTTGGCCTTAGTCATCACTATCATCACATTGACTGTTTCAAAAGCGATCCCAACAGATTCTCCTGTAGTTAATATATATGGGCAAGGTCCAGTGCGCGGCAGCTATGATGAAACATTATGGACAAAACAGCAATTTTTATCATTTCGTGGCATACCATATGCGGAATCGCCAAGTGGAAAGTTGCGTTTTAAGGTTTGTTTCTAGAGAGCATGAATTAAAATACGGGAAATGTAAGCAGTGTTGAGTGACTATTAAAACCAAATGCATAAATAAGTGTAACGGCACTAATTAAAAAATCAAAAGTATAAATATTTAATTACTAATGCAGTCTAAAGTTGCTTGTTCCACGGAAGTTTGTATGTACATTGATGCTGAAGGACGGAATTTAATAAATTTGTTTCTTCTAATGTGTTTGTAGCCATTAGTGGTGGCAAACTATCGATGGCACTATCGGTACTATCGATGGGTCATTATTAAGGTAGGTCCTTATGGTCTTTAAAAAATATATTACCGCAATGGGGGTGTATTCATAGTCAAAATTAAGTTGGTACTTAAAGTTGTACCTTTTTTACATAATTTTGGATGGGTCATCTGTCACTAACTTTATCACCAACTTTAAGTACCAACTTAATTTTGACTATGAATACGTCCAGGTCGAGCGAAAGCGCGACTAGCTTGGACGACAGCACGACTATCTTAAATGACAGCTCGGCCAACTCGAGCGAGGCGCCGACTAACACGCCAACCACTCCGCCAACCCTCGACGCGAATACAGTCACCGACCATCCAACTCTCCTCAGGGGAAGAGACAACGCCATGAGAGGAGCAAGGTCCGGTACGGACATACCCGCCAGGGCCAGGCAGCATCGCGATGGTTGACGGACGCGGTGATCGATGCATGGGCGAGAGGGCTAGAAGCCGAGCTCGGGCCACGGGCCACTATACTCAGCCCTTTTGTAGTACGGCGACTACCGCAAAGAGGAACCCGGAGTAAAATTATCGTCGCATCCATCGCTGGCTTCGAAAGATAGACCGGTTCGATAAGCGGACATTTCTACCGCCCCACAACACGGCTGGCCACTGGTGCCTGCTGATCCTTGAGAACCGGGAGACCACCTACCATCTTCTCGATATGGAATGCTGGCGGGAGCGCTATCTATTTACCGTGGCTTCTAGGGTGGGGGGCAGAGTCGTCCACGCAACAGAAACATGGGGAAAGTTCCTACAGTGGTAGTATACCCAGAGGCTTGCGCGGGGTGAGCTTCGGGGTTCAAGAAGTCTACCCGAGCGTCCAACAACAAGGAAACGATGGGGACTGCGGTGTATATACACTAGGGGCCAACGAGAAGGTCATGCGCTTCATCGGGCAAGGCAGAGGCGCACCAGGATTCATCGCAGAGCTGTTCACGGCCCGTATGACGGCCCTGAAGCGGGCGCAGATATTGACCACGTTTCAGCAGCATGCGCGTTGACGCCAAGGCTCTGAGCCGCCGCCGCCACAACCGCACTCGCCACTACTAAACCACGACATAGGTGTCGCTGCATCTACTGCACCACCGCGAACAGTAGTCCTCACCCCTATCACCTCAACAGCCCGTATCCCGAAGAGAGCAACAACCGACGGTACCACCAGAGGGAATAAAGATCCTCATCAGCGACACAGATGGACCGGTTTAGACCAGTTCCCGACAATAGCGGAAAGAATCCGTCGGAGCCTCAGAAATATCACCACGCGCGAATGCAAACCCCGGCTGAGGATCAGTACCAAAGACTACCGGGTAACTATACACCACTGGGGCGCACACGTCCACCCGAAGACCAAGACCCGAGGATCCAGACCACCAAGTAGGGGGGAGTATGAGGACTAAATGCCCATGGGAAATTTAGCCCATTGCCATGACAACGCAACCCGCACAGCAACATGTAGCTGCACGGCCCCGCAACTTTAAGCACGCAGCCTCTTAAAGGAGTAGCACGTGAAGAAACCAGTCAGTCAGCATGAGACTGTGAACAGGCGGCCATTGGCAAGAAGTGACTTCATCTGCTCCGGCTCGACTGTCGGGCTTGATTCCATTTCCGCAACTTGACTGTTGGGCTGGATGTCACCTTCTCAGTGGCAGCGCCACAGGTTACACACGCTCTCACCACAGCCTTCGTTAAACCGCGCACGGGCGACACCCGCTCTCTCGACGCCAGCGCCGCCATCAGCAGAGTGACATCAACGGCGTCAACAAGAGCGCTACCCACCGCTGCCATCAGAGCGACGCCAAGGACGCCCAAGAATCATAGAATACAAGATTGCGCCGATCAGAGAGGATTTTTGAGAATAACTTTTGTGTGACGTCACACTGGTGCAATTGCGAGAGAGAAATGCCAAAACGTGGGCAAGAATGGAAGAAGAAGAAAAAAAGGTTGCAAGGAAAACGTAAACAAGTTGCACAAGTGTGACGTCATGCAAACAACGATTCTGTCAAATTCGTTAAGAGAGGAATAGCGGTCCGAGATCGGCGCAACCTTTGTATTCTCTCAATCGTGAAGGACGCCATTCACCGACGATCAGAGCGCCACTCATTGGCGTGCCGAGAGCGCTATATACCGAAACGAGCAGAGTGCGACTCATCGAAATTGCCGAGAGCGCCACATACCGGCGTCACCAGAGCACAACTCTCCGACATTGCCGTGAGCGCTTCATTCCGACGCGACCAGAGCACCACTTACCGACGTTAGCAGCGCGCCACTCAGCGGCGTCAGCAGAGCACTGCCTACCAGTACCAAAGCTACGCCACTACGGCATAACGGGCCAGCAACGGAATGCGGACCGGTTACCCAGTCACCAGAATCCGTAAATTTAAACAAGTAAATGAAAAGCAAATCCCTCGCATAATTACTCATTTCTATTGGTTTTGTGTGTAAATCCCGTTAAACTTATCACATGTTTCTTGCCAGATACCAACAGGGTTGCTTAAGTAGCTAAAAGGAAATTTTACACAAGGTGAGCATTCTTTTGTTGCTCGTTACCAAAAAAAATTCACCTTATGCCGTTCCAAAGTCTGTACTAGCCATGGATAACACTGCGCTGCGCGGCGTAATTGCGTTAACACCATAGCAGGAGTTGCCGCGACAACACCAATATATGAAAAGCGCTAGCGCCATTAACACCAAGAAACACTTGAGACACACACAAAATTCGCCTTAATTCTTTAAAAAATTGCACCTATTTGTTTTTGTTTTTGAGTTGTGAGAACGCCAGAAACTTATGTACCTTGGCAAATGTAAAGCTTTTACTCAAGAATGATGAGAATATCGTGGCATTTACTACATTCCTAATAGTTAAATCCAGTTGACGGTACAAGCGGTGCTCAGCGCCGAAAATTACAGAAATAATAGACATGAAACCACTGTATTTTGTATGGATGACACTGTATGACGATGGGTACCGTGGTGGCACTCAGATGGCGCTGTGTTCAAATCAGCACACTGCGCTATTACGCTGACACGACAGGTAGCGTCGGAGTAATTGAGCTAGCGCCATAAAAATGCGCTATTACCCATGGCTAGTCTGTATGTACATACACGCATATGTCTGCATTACGCAGCAAAACTCTTTATCATAAAAAAAGTTTACGATTTTTTTATATTCATTGCTTAATCTCCAATTGTACCCTTACGGCATACACTGAGAAAACAGTTTAGTAACGTCAACTAAAAATCTTTCGCGCAACGTAAGAACAGCAAACCTTCTTATGAGCGCTGAATCATTCTGTAATTTGAACTAGCTGCCCATTTTCCAAACGTCCATCTAATGTGTGTAGCTAACTCAGAATGAAGCAAGTATTGAGAGCATTTTTGGGATTCCAGACAGGCTTTTTGGCTATCTGTTCACTTGGATGGATAATCAAAAATTTGGTAGGGCCTATATCTGTTACTCTACCGGTCGCAATCTGCATTTCGCAAGCGTTGATTAGATAAGCCTTTGCAGACAAAATGTTGTCCTTCACTTCACTGTAATTATTTGTAAGGAATATACTTTACATATAACTTTTTATGAAGCAAGAACGATAGTTCTGGTAATTCTCTGTGTTCTCTCAGCCACCAACAAGCCGCAAACCTTGGCAAAAAACCTTCGACGCACAGAACTTCGGCAAACGTTGTCCGGTTATAACAAGCGTGTCGAAATTAAATGCCTCCAAACTGAAAGATGACCTCGAAGACTGCCTGAACTTGAGCGTCTACACCAAAAGCGTAAGTTGGACTTATTTATAGATTTAATAACATCTTGTAGCTACTTCTCTACTCTAAATTTATTTCCAGCTCAATGCCAGACAACCAGTTATGTTCTACATTTACGGTGGTGGCTTCTCTAATGGTTCCGCCTCTGATCATCCGCCACACCATTTGCTAGAAAAGGACATAGTACTGGTAGTGCCACAGTATCGCATTGGCGCACTCGGCTGGCTGACTACACTCACCGAGGAAATGCCTGGCAATGCGCCCGTAATGGATCTGCAGCTGGCTTTGAGTTGGGTGCAGAAATATATTTATACATTTGGCGGTGATCGCGACAAAGTTACGATATTCGGACAAAGTGCAGGAGCGGCTATGTCTGGCGCCTTGCTGCTGAGTCCCAAAACGTCAGAGAGCTACTTCAAGCGTTCCATTGTGCAATCGGGTGCCATAACTGCGTTTTGGGCCATCAATCGTGAACCGCTGGCGCAAGTGAAACGCATCTGTGAGGCGCTCAACTGCGAGCAATGTGACGACAGTGCGGAACAGTATAAATGTTTGAGGAGTGTGAATGTATTACAGTTACTCAGAGTGACAACAGCGGTGAGCTGAGAATGAGTTTCAGAAAAATTAAATTAATATTTGAAATTATATATTTAAGGAAAGTTTCAGTCCCGTAGTTGCCGATGTATTTGGCGTGCTTCCTTCAGAGCCGAGAGTGCTGCTTGAAAATCTCAAACGCACAGTACCGCTGATGGCCGGTTTCACTAAACATGATGGCTCTTTTGCATTGGCAAGTACGCCACTAACTGATTGATTCAAAAATGCGATCTGTAAATCTCTGAAAATATAATTTCTCTCCAATCTAAAAGCACTCTACGACAGTATTGTGGCAATGTTAGGTAGCATTTCTAAATTAACTGTGCGTCAGTTCGCAAACACGCTCATTGATGTGGGCAAGGACAGCACCAGCCTGTCCAACAATTTGCTCTTACGCATGCTTTTCGAACAGGAACTATTGGAGAGTAACAATCATACAGCTGCATGGCCGGCATACTTTGATGTTAGTGTGTACGATAGTTTATGGATCGAAAGTTTTTACTCGTGTAGTATTTTAATTCTTCCTTAAATTATTTTAGGCCGCGAATATTATAGCCATGAAATCGCCAGTGATTGCTTACGCTAACGGCCTGCAGAGAAGAGGTGCGGCTCCAGTGTACCTTTATAGCTTTGACTACGAAGGCGAGCATACACGCTTCGGCTATGAGTTTGGTAATTCACAGTATCCTTTCGAGGGCGGCGTACATCATTCGAATGATAATATATACTTATTTGCTACGCACAAACTCAATGCGAATGATACGAGAATCGCAATGAAAATGGTAGATTTGTGGTATTCGTTCGCAGTGCATGGGGAGCCAAAGGTTGGAGATCAACCTGAGCTGGATATTAGAGCCATGAAGAGTACGTAAAGTGTAATTGTTGTTAGTTTATAAGCTATGATAACATTTTGGGCTCGGTATGTATATAACACCGTGCGACGGTCAATTTAACAAACACAAAAATCAATATACTTGCAAAATTAGGGGTCATATATCGTAAAGGATTTTCGGTAATTTAAGAAATTTTAAATATATGATTAAATAAAAATATTTTAAAAATACGTACATAGGTATTGATATCAAATAAAGAAAAAATGCTGTAGAATTAGAAAAGGTTACATTTTGTGGTGCACAAGGGCGAAATATGCTTGGAGATGCCCTTGAATAGCCGTGAAAATTTGCAAAATTTTTTCTTAGACTAATATATGTATACCTGACCAACCACCACGAATTTCCTCCTCCGAACTTTATTTACGAAGCTTAAAAAATATTTTTAGGGACTTAATCGATAAATATTTGTCCTTCTGAACACAAAAATTGTACAGAATTTTCTCTTCCATTTGGTGCCCATATTGTTATTGTTCTAAATAGTTTAATTAATAATTTAAATAAATTTTATCTGTGAAATTGCCAGTCCTTTAAAGAAATCCCGACGGGAGAGACAAAAACCAAAAACGTAGTTTTACTATATTTGGCGCCTAGTTTCATGAGTATATTGGTTGTTCCATGTGTTTTGAATTTTCATATTGTTTTTTGGTTTGTGTCGCATCAAGTATTTCAGACAGATCGTGTCCTTATGACTTACATTTTAATACAATTATATATTTACGCGTATTTAAGTGCCTTATGCTTTAACTTCTAGTTTAATAGTACATTTTTTCTTCTTCATATTTCAGCTGAAGCTGGTCCCTACTTTCACATCAATAAACAAATAACTTTGGGTTCTGATATTCTCTCCGAACTTACAGCGACGGTGGATGATCCTGACAGTCACAAATTGATCAGGCCGTCGGCATTTCAAGTAACTCATATTCGTAATAATGTTATTGAGAAGTAAGATAATGTGGGTTTACATACCGTACATTTGATTTTCATTTGTATTTGTAAGTGGGAATTTTTCTTCAAACTTTTTTTAATATACAAATAAATTTAATTTAATTTTGTATTAAAAAACCTATTATTTTGAACAATCAAACACTAAAAAACATGAACTAGTAGATTTAATTTAAAATATTGCGAACGTGTTCCTTATCTTCCAATTTTCGTAAAATGCTTTATGCAACTTCGACCGTCTCAGCTAATTACCGCTAATCCATTTCTATCAAAAGTAAACTTTTTTCTTAACCACTTCACACCCTGTTGCCAAAAAACATTTTAAATTCTACTTAAAAGCTTAACCACAAATGTCCAAAAGTTGTTTGCCAACACTAAATTTTCCATAACCAAACTAACCACCACACAATGAAATGAAGTCTTTTGCGTTCCAAACTCCTTTACCGCTCCTGCTGCACCTTTCAAATATTCGCCTCTATCTCTCTAATTGTCTTTTGTACTTCCTGCAACGTAATTTTCATATGTCAACAGTCAGCGACAAAATTACGATACCACAAAGTAAACAAATTAACTAAATCATCTTGAAATTGGCAGCGAATGAAATGGACCAACTAACAGTGAATATATGGACACAGAGGAGCGAGACGTACAGCGTTTCTGTCTCAGTGAATGCGAATTGCTTTTAGTGCAGCTTAGAGTATATTCTTCTATGTGGCCGAAATATTTTACTGTCACCATCTTTATTATCCTTTTGTGTTTTACTTACACTTTGCGGCTTTTGTCAGTTAGTTGTGAATTAGTAATTACAAAATGGAGTGAGTAAGGAGGAAAAATAGGAAGTAAACTTTTACGGAGGGAATGGGGCCTGAAAGTTTCCTTATGTTGTTCGTTTCCAAGGCTGTCAATAGTTACTGGCTTTCTTTTATAGATCAATAGGTTCAGGAAATGATCCTGGAAGCCAATGAACTTTTTCAGCTAGTAATTATTTTAACAAAACTTCTTTTGAGAAATAAGTTGTCTATGAATCAGCATGGTGTGACACAGAGTAATGAAATCCTGCCCAACTAGGGCTCTGATTGGTCTGGCCATTTTGGTACCGGTAGAGTTTTCTATCTAAAATACAGCTGCACTAACCCCTTCAGGTTTGGTGAAAAGTGCAAGCTCACATGACAAAGTCTAGGTGAATTTCAAGTATGTAGTAATTCAGGTATACACTTCCCGCATCTTCGATTAGATTCGAGATCTAGTGCTCGAAAGCAGAATTACCCACTAAAAGAGGTAGTTTAGAATAACCAGACAAACAAATATAGCAAACATAGCAAAATAGCGGCCTATTTCAGTTGAAGAAAATTTTAATTTTTATCCTTTTTTGAATAGGGTTGCCTTAAAACAAAGGTAATTAAGTGTTAAGTAAATTAACTGAACAAATAATTCAAACATGGTGGTCGAAAAAGTTCTTAGTTTAGGAAATTGTTTGAAATAGAGTTGCCAACTATAGGAAAATTAGTGTTGATAAATAAAAAGTCAACTCTAGAAAAGTGTCCTTCTTGCGGAGGTGTATATCACTTGTGCTTCCTTTTCCTCCTAAAACCTAACTACTAGAATGTTCGATAATTTTTGGCTTTTTTTCCAAACCCGGTTTTCGAGTTATTCGAAAAATTGCAATTTGAAAAAAAACGGTTCCCCATTTTTAAATTAAGAAAAAAACCGGCAAAACCGGTTCATACAGTGAAAATGCTTATGTTTGGAATGAAGTCAAAACCAAAAATTACAATAAAACTATTAACAGTAAATATAGCTTTCATTTAGAAAAGAACAAAGCAAAACAAGTTCAAGCTGAAGTTTTTTTAGATCAAAGGTAAAACCAATAAAATTCAATGAAAAATTCACGTTTGGTCTTATTTTAACCTTTTTTAATTAAAATTTAATTAAAATAATTATGCATTTTTTCTGACTGTCCGGATTTGAGTAGTGCTCTCGCCGCCATAGTCGAGTGCTTGGTCTAATTTCTGGCCCCTCTGGCAAACAATGGCAAACCTCCTAGTTTACTTCTGCCATAAAAAAGCTTCTTCGGACCAAAGATATAGTAATTTGAAAACTATTTAGGGTTTACCTTGAAAACTTAGAAAAACTCCAAACTTTTATTGAAAGGTATGAAATGAAAAAAACCGGTTCGTTCAATATAATATTTGATATTCGAAAAATCAAAATAAAAAAACGCCTATAGATATTGAAAAACCCGGTGGAATCCGAGTCAATCGCCCTACTGACCACTCATACATACATATGTATTAACATTACACCGTACCAGAAAACAAAGTTCGGCGTGTATTTCCAGTTTTTTCATCATATCTGGGCATTTACAGTCGCATCTAAAAGTAAGTTAAATCGATGCTTTTGTATCTAGGAGAAATTTTTTTTTCTAAAGTCCACTGGCCTCAAGTACTTGCCCTTTAATTCTAACGTACCACCCTAATGCCAAAAATTTAAAGCTATCTAAAAATCCTTAAACTTTTTATTTTGATTATTCGAGTAGAACTCTTTAATATATTTTGTATTGCCGAATGTAGGTGTCAGCGAAAAATGTACTCCTAGGTTCCGCAAAAATTTGCATTCTAAAAATGTTTTGCACTCAGGGTTTTCCGGCGAACCTTTTTTGGCTTGTAATGTGATACGGTCTAATGTACATACATGTTCAAACCGAGCAAAAATTCTGATCCAAATGAGGAGAGTTAAGAATTTAACATAGTCTTCGCACAGAACCAAACAGCCTCCCTTTATACCCGCACTAATTTTCATTGCGCTGCCCTGTTTTTCCCTCTTTTTGGCGCATATGCTGAAACTGGATTGATGCTGGAGCTGTAGCAGCTTTTACGAGTTTGTTTCGGTGTGTTACTGGCTGGGTTTGTTGTTGGTGCTGCTGCCGCTGACAAGGCTTTTAGTGTCATTTAATGTCAAGCGAACACATAAGTACAGCCAACCGTGTATCTAGGTACGTATGTATGTACATACATATGTATATAGACATGTGATAATTGAATTAGAATGGCAACTACAACAACTTCAAATGTACATTATGTATGTATGGTAAAACTAAGAGTGCAATGGCGTCGTTTTCTGTCAAAAGCTTCAATTCCCATTAGGGAATTCAATCCCGCAAACGCAAGATCCTGCGCCATTTTTGCGGGTTTAGAAATGAGTGACTACGCGGGATTTGCGGGACTACAGAAAAACCATTAAAAAGCAGAATGCCAGTTGTGAACGTGCTCGCCAAAATGTTAGCTGTATTAAATATGCATCCTTTTATAACCCATTAGATAACTTCAAAAGTTAAAAGCCCTTCCAAAGGATTTCCTGAGAGTCAAGGGGCGTTCCACTCTACATTCCTTTCTTTTCTGTATGGAATGACATCAATTGAAGGGCGTCTTCTTTCGCTACCCATAGAAGGCCTTCAGAAAGGCTTTTATAGGACGTACTTCAGAAGGTCTTTTGGAGGAGTTCATTGAAAGTTGCTTCTCTAATTTATAAAACTCATATATCGTTAAATCGTTTATATCAAATATGTCTGCAAAAAAGCATTCCCAGTTCTTCATAAGTAAACTTTTTAGAATAACTTCACTTAAGAAGGCCTACCTAGATTATCTTCCTTGGAGATTTTCAAACTAACAAACGACGGCACTGGCTACGACAGGGGAAACTTTCGCAATGTGTTTTGAGGTTAGAAGCAAATCCTGACGTGAAGGAGCTAAACGGATTTCAGATTCGTGTTCAGCGACCCCAAAAACATATCAAACACCTAGTCGGGTTTTATTAACCTTTTATCGATTTTTTTGTGATTAAAATTTGAAAACGTTCGCCTTGATAACTAGCTTAAACTTTGTACACTTACCGATTTATGAACACATTATACAAGTGTAGAACAGTCCGTTTCTATCGATAAATAAGTATGCCATCGGAAAAATTTATTCTTTTATTTGAGCTTTCTTACAGATGCTAAATTTCGAATACTCATAACTCTGGTTCTATTAGAGGCACAAATTTAGCTCTGATGTAATTTTTAAGAGTATATAAAAGAATATATTATCTTATCGCCATTTTCAAATATCAAACGGTAAAAAAGTATCGGAAAAACAGGAAAAAATAGCTAAATTTGAACAATCCATAATCACTGATATTTTAGCTGGTTTTGGAATTACAGCCAGCGTATAGTGTTTCAGATCAGATTAAGCACTATAGTAACTCTTACTATGATATATTTTCTTCTGAAAAATACCCAACAGATATAGTGATTTTGACTATATACCCATGAAACTCTGCATAATCACCAAAATCAAAAGTTCCTGATTGTGCAATAAAATAAGGTCGAATTTAAAAGATGAAAACTTAAAGCTCTTTTTATCATTCCTTCGGAAATATTATCAAAAAAGGCAACCGAATTAAAAGTAAATACGTAGATTTTTTTGAATTAAATTTTATTTATTACATATCAATTTTGAATATAGCTGTTTAGAGGAAATAATATGATTTTTTTTAGTCCCGCAAATCCCGCGAATCCGCGGGATTGATGACCTCGATACTGCAAGCTTGCGAGACTGGATTCCCTAGTCCCCATATTCCGCTTCATGACTTTGAGTGTAAGCTAGAGCCCCATTCGTAACAACCAACGAAAACTCGGTAAGTGGCAACAACATTAAACATTTACATATAAATATTCTTCTACACACACATGGTATGCCAACTACTAAAAATTATTATCCTTTTAACGTATCCAACATGCGTTTGAAATACTCACCACTTTCGTGCTCATAGATCTTAATTATTTCTCAAGGAATGAATTGCCAATTTTAGTCACACATATGTATACTTATGTACATATGTATTAATGTGAGCTTTGAAAGTTAAGTAAAGTGTGGCTTATACAAATGTGACTGATATCATTAGGGTGGCCCAAAAATACATGTGGGGGAAAAGGTAAAGGGGATTTTAATGCTCTGACTCCCTAGGATTGTTCTAAATTGAAAAAGTATACGCCTGTTCTTCATTTCGAAATTCAAAAATA